AACATTGGGCGTGTTTCTTTCCACCTGTTGTCTATGTCCCCCATCAGTAAAATGAGTACCTGGGTGTCAGTCGACTGGTGTGGGTCGCATCCTGGGACACTGACCTAATTTGCCCGACATGCGGAGCATAACAAGGGGCTTTCTATGTAAGATAAGATTTCGTTCGGATTTTTAACCCCGGAGGGTTAGCCACCCAGGATAACCCAAGAAAGTCAGTTCGTCATCGAGGACTGTCTAACTTATTTCCATTGGGGTCCTTAATCTTGTCCCCCAGGATGCGACCCACACCAGTCGACTAACACCCAGGTACCTATTTGCTGCTAGGTGAACAGGACAATATGTGTAAGGAAACGTGTCGGAATTTCCACCCGCCGGGAATCGAACCCGGGCCCTCTGTGTGTGAAGCGAGCTTTAGCCACCAGACCACCGGGCCACACATAGTTGTCAGCTAGGCCTGTATACCATGTACATGTACCTGTAGTAAATAAAGATATTATTATTATTATTATTATTATTATTAGTGGGCCCCGCCTCTACTGGCGTGTTCAAGAATTTTCTGCGCCTCATCTTCGACAGTATATAAGGCCACATTCTCATGTTTCACCGCATTGTTCCAGATTATGGAGAAGAACTCTTCTCCAAACTACTTAATAATAATAATAATAATAATAATAATAATAATAATAATAATAATAATAATAATAATATTATTATTATTATTATTATTTTATTATTATTATTATTATTATTATTATTATTCATTATAATTTATGTTCATAATATATCAGAACGTTGGCCGTCTGGAATAGCTTTAAGACGAGGTATGATAAAGCTCAGGGAGCAGGGAGAGAGAGGACCTAGTAGCGTTCAGTGAAGAGGCGGGGCCAGGAGCTGAGTCTCGACCCCTGCAACCACAATTAGGTGAGTACGATATTTGTATAAAGAAGTAATAGATATGCGTCATGGAGTGTGCCTTTGTAAACAGTGACAAAGGTGACGACAGGGGTGCGCGGACTGTCATACTCTTCAATGGGGGTATGTGGCCTAATAAAAAAAATAGTTTGAGGCCCATCCTCCCCTCCTCCCACACACCTGTTCTAGGCAAACAATCAGGGATATGACAGGCGCAACTCAAAACTAGGGCGTTGGCTCGATACTGGACTACTACAGACAAACATCCGTTTTCTCAGTACACGGTCACTCGCTCCAGTGATCCCAGGTTGACCACAACTCTCCCGGCACACCCGCTGAGTACACAGCTCGCTAGTATTTACTCGCTTTACCCTGTTACTCGTTCACATTCACTCGACTCCCTCAGGATCTCGCAACATTCACTCACACTCACTTCTCGGTTTCCACGTGTGTTACTGTACAAAATCAAGGACACGGACGTTGATCACGTCAGTTCACGGTTAAGGTTCGTGGTTTGATTCGTTATTTCTTAAAACACTTATATTAGCAAGGTGTCCTTTCCTCCCTCATTGTCAGAAGACTACATTCCTGAGCGTCATTGTTCTGTGAGCCTGTGATTGTATATGTGAAGTTATAACTTAATATGACAAACATAGCAAAAAAAATTACGCGTTAACACTTTAGTTTCGAGCTAATAACCTCCGACAAGAGAGACGTGAATGAATGTACCCGGCTACGTACGTGGTGTCCCATCAAGTTTTAAGAGCAATGCTGTGTACGTGGTGTTCCTGCAAGTTATAAGAGCTATGTACGTGGTGTTCCATCTAGTTGCAAAAGCTATTGTACGTGATGTTCCATATAAGAGCAGAGCTATGTATGTGGTATCCCTTCTTAAGGGGATACTTTATGGTATAAATTACTAGAATTACAATTACAACTACGATAATTACACCTACTATAACTACAGTAATTACAACTACTAAACACTTGCAAATATAATTAGTACATCTGCAACAAATTAAACACTACAACAACACTGGTCCGCACTACTCTTGCAACACTGGTCCACACTGCTCTTGCAACATTGGTCCGCACTACTCTTGCAACACTGGTCTACACTACTCTTGCAACACTGGTCCACACTGCTCTTGCAACACTGGTCCACACTGCTCTTACAACACTGGTCCACACTGCTCTTGCAACACTGGTCCACACTACTCTTACAACACTGGTCTACACTACTCTTGCAACACTGGTCCACACTGCTCTTGCAACACTGGTCCATACTGCTCTTGCAACACTGGTCCACACTGCTCTTGCAACACTGGTCTACACTATTGCAACACTGGTCCATACTACTCTTGCAACACTAGTCTACACTACTCTTGCAACACTGGTCTACACTACTCTTGCTTCAACTTACAAGATCGGTCAACACTTCACTTGCTTCAACACTACAACTACCCACCAGCTTCTGAAGGAGGCGTGCCTGGAACGGTCCCGGAGAGGATAGGGGTGTGTCTTGGCTCCGTTTTCTCGTCAGTAGCACACTCCTCTGCTCCTAGTCACGCCATTTTCAAGTTCGTTCTTGAGAATCAACCCTTAACGGTCTTCACCTCTTCGGGGGGTGTGATCATTGTTAGGCTACTACGTTCAGGTGCTCGAGCTGTGGGACTGTGCACACGGTATGTGAGTAAGTACAGCATGTGTGTTTCCCCAGTGCTCGGTGGCCTCACTGCAGTTATCATTGTGGAGTTTCCAGGAGGTCCTGGCGAAGGAGGACCTGGCTGAGAGTGACCAACTCCCTTGTAGGTAGGAAACGCCCACCGGAATCAGAAATTTACATTCGAGATGAGAAACGACGTCCAGAAGGGATATTTCATTGGGTTTGGCAAAGATACTAATTCTGCATCATGATGGCGGCGGCGGCCAACGTTGCCTTCGTGCTCAAAAAAAAGAGTCTTGGCGAGCCATCAACGCTGGTTGAAGACGTACTTTCCGCTCCGACGTTGAAGCGCCTTTACTTACCACTCTGAGACTGAAGGAGTCTTTCCCGTGGGACAGTGCATCACTCTTTTCCTTGACTTACGTAGATATGAAACGTGAATGTTTGAGGACTTAAAACTCCTCATCTAAAGGTGCCTGAGGTAGAGACGCAGACAGAGGAAAGGGGTGCTACTATTGTTTTTCAATTGAAGGTTAACTTTCACGGTATTGCCTTGACCAGTCGACCACTAAACACGCAGTAGTAATAGAAGTAGTAGTCACATCAGCGTGGTGGATAAGTAATTTTAAGGTGTTCAGTCCCTTTGCCTTTATAACTTTTATAACACAAAAGGTGTTCAGTCCTTAGGTCTACACAGAATTATAAATAAGTAGAGCGAGGCTAAAGGACTAAACTTTTAGGTTATTTTTTTTCCTTGTTATACAGGCAGTGTGCGCCACCCATGCTGATGTGACTACTACTACTACTACTAGTACTAGTACTAGTATTAGTGCTACTACTACTACTATTACTACTACCACTACTACTACTACTACTACTACTACTACTATTGCTACTACTGTTTAATCACGTTACTTTCACCTCACTGGTTCAAATAAATTCCTTTCTCATCTCTTTGTAATAAACTGATAAAGCCTGTTGCTGTTCAGGCGAAACGTCTCTCAAATAAACGATACCCAGATGTTACAAATGTGTCACATTTTAACAACTTGTCAGTATTAAATACCTTTAATCGAATAATACGGAGCACATTCTCGCACGTTCACATTGGAACGTTTACCTATTTCCCTGGCTACTCCGCTGCAGATGCATCACAGATAGTTATTTTTTGTGCGCAAAATACCCAATCAAATCCAACTTAAAATAACCTAACTTAGGGAAAAATATGATTAGAAGAAAAATATAGAGAAACATTTAAAAACTGAGCAGAAACGTTGAAAATTGACGCATGAAGATAATATTTTGCAGTGTGACGTCCGTGAATCCTGATTGTACTCGCTTAATTGTGTTTCCAGGGGTCGTTCCATAGCTCCTGGCCCAGCGTCTTAATTCTTACGAAACCGATCCTGGGTGAAGGAATATGATGGAATCGTAACTTGCTCTAGGTCCCACAATGTCAGTGTCGTACAATATTATTAAAAACAAAAATTGTGCATTTTCCCAGTTTTGATAAATGGAAACTATTAGGTTAGGTTAGGTAATATTTGTCAGGAAACAGGGAAAGTGTTTCGTGAAGCGGGTTTTAGTTATATGACGACCTACAGCTGGGGCTTTTGGTCATCTGACCGAGGCCTTCCGCTGGCTTACCGGTCCACTTCCTTTAAAAATTATGGCTATAATTATATGAAAACTATATGTGCACCTGTGTATAAGTGCATCATTATTATTATTATTATTATTATTATTATTATTATTATTATTGTACTAGTAGTAGTATATTTTTATTATTTTCAATATTATTATTTCCATTTGAGCACTAAACCCTTATGGATCATACAGTGCTTAAGACAAGCACTATGAAAGAACACACAATAAACCACATCATTTAAAAAAAATCAACATTTAAACTGTAGCCTAATCACATTAATAAAATTTGTAGATAAGAGACTACAAACACTAAACCTTCCATACAGTAAGACACACTAATACTGATTATTATAATCATAACAAAACGCTAAACACTAATAATGAAAGCTTAAAACTGATCAAAGCTTTCTGAAATTATCACACTGTTCACCCGTCCTCTCCTTGAGTGACCAATATGGGTTTAGCGCTTTACGCAAATATATGAATTAAAGTGATTTAACCATGAGAAATAGGTTTTTTTTTGTACACAGTACTGGTAAATGTGCACTTATATTTGCACTTATTTTCCTCTAAGTAGAATACGTCAGTGTTAAGTGTTTGAAGCCATTTACAAGAGGCGATTAAAAGTTGTCGAACCCAGTGCAAGAATCCTGAAGTACCAGCGTCCAAAATTTGAAGCCTATTGAATGAGGTGCTCTCAAGCAACTACTTAAAAGGTATCCCTTGAGGGATACCTCATTCCAAAGTACCGTAGCAAATGTTTACTTACAAGTACCATTGTGTCCTCCAGCGAGTGTCGTACCTCTCCCTCCCTCCCTCACTAGAGGTCCAGGACGAGCAGAGAGGCCAGAGAAAATGGCAGTGCTGGAAATGAGGCTTCTGACGATAGTGACGGTGCTGTCGACGGTGAAAATGATGGTGAGGAGTGACAGTCTCTCCTTCAGTCATGGCGAAGGTGATGATTGTACTGCGGTGTGTTTGACAATATTGGTGTTGTGTTGGCCAGTGGTGTTGTGTTCTTGTTGGTATTGGGCAGTAACGATGTTGTCTTGCCCTTGTGTTGTGATGGCACTGTTGGTGTTGTGGTAGCCTTAGTATCGTCATTTTTTTGCCATTTATGACGTTTGTGATGTGTTCGTCATATTCATGATGTGTTGGTGATTGTGATGTGGTCATATTTATGTATTTGTGATGTGTTGGTGACGTGATGCTTGTGATGTGTTGATGTTTGTCATGTGTTGATTCTTGTGATGTGTTGGTTATATTCACGATGTGTTTGTGACGTGCTAGTAGTAACGTGCTGTTGTGACGTGTTGATGTTGGTGATGTGATGTATTAATGTTCATCATGTGTTGGTGATTTATGTTTTAGTCAGATTTATGTGTTGATTTATGATGTTTTGGTCAGATTTATGTGTTGATTTATGATGTTTTGGTCAGATTTATGTGTTGATTTATGATGTTTTGGTCAGATTTATGTATTGATTTTGTATGTGTTGGTAATGTTTACGTTGTCATTCTGTATCCAGATATAACAATAGCAGTAGGATAAGGTTCGCAATTCCATCTTTAATGCCAAATTTTGAGACACTTTGTAATACAGTACCACGGACCACATCCCAGTGTTTCGCCTGAGAACTGCTTCAAGCCAGAGGGAATAATGGTTAGGGAGAGAGCCTTTTGATTTTCCATCCTAATCAACCTAAGTACAGGTGGCAGTACTTTTTAATATCTTCCTTTCTTCTTCTTTCTATTTCCTCTAGCCTTTGTTCATCAGATTATCCTTTTGTTTCTATCTTTGTTTTCCGTTATCCTAGTACCATGATTAAAAAAGGCTGCCATCACCAGCGTATATCGATTTATTTAACTGTCTAATTAGCGATTGATTTTTGTCAGCATCTGAAGTGGCTGTGCCAAATTACTGGGAGTAGTCATAGTTTTATTACCCGAGTGTTGGTCATTGAATCATTATCTGAGTGGTAATGGACCAGGTCGATTCTTGTGTTATTACAAGAGAAGCCATTTCTGGAACGGTGGGTACGTTCCGTGTTGCTGACTTGCAACATCTGTGGAGATAAGTGGCATAGAATACCAACACGATGGAAAAATAAACACTAATGCGGTATAATGTAATTCTTTATTGACTGGAGGTAAGACTTCAAATACTACTTACCCAACATTCTCCACCTGACTCTCCACACTATATATGCTAGTATACTCTACCCATGTAGATCTGTTTGTGATTTGATAAAGCCCACGCAGTGGGTTTTATCAAGTCACTGCATTTGTGCTTATTTGACCAACATCTGTTTAACCTTTCAGACGAGGTTGAGGGCGTGGGTGAGGCCGGGCAAGTGGTGGTGTACAGGCTGCACACGGAGGCGCCTCCCTGGGAAGGGCTGACGTGGGTGCAGAGGGAGGTGAGTTTTCCTGGAGTGGTGACCCACCTCACTGTCTGCCTCCACTTCCGCATCCTCTTCCTATACACCGACCCGGCGATCCTCCTGAGGGTGGACGGCACGCACTTCGCTGCCAGTAAGAGGCTCGGGGTTCCGTACTGCTCACATAAAGTAGGTAGGAAAAGAACACGATAGGATATGAAAAAAAAGTTAAATGTAGTGTAATGAGGTCCTTATTAACAACGTTTCGAGGTGAGTTTTTTTCCAGTCAATCCTGAAGGGACAATCACTTAAAATAAAGCACTGCATGGGCGAAACGCTGTTATGATCCTTCAGAACTAGGTGCGAAGCTCATCGTTCTTGCCATTAGTAGACTGAGGGTCGAGCCTCAACAGCTCATCGCGCTGAATCGCGTACATTTATATCGTTTAAAAAATCTGATTTTTGTAACTTCATCTCTTTTCCATTATATCTTTCACCAGTCTCTTTTCCTCAGTATACGAGGGCAACTACGCGCTTTTCAACTCTAAATACTTCTGGTGGACGCAGAAGGTGGCTAAGCTGCGGCTTTGGCGGCATATGTGCTTCCTAATGGGGGAGGAGGCGGGTGTGGGCATAGAAGGTCGCTACTTGCCCGGCGTCCGCCAGGGAGACCAGGGACAACCAACCCTCTTTGTCGTGAGTCCCCGCTTTGATGAGTACACGCGGGTAGTTGAGAAAATACTTGGGTTGTGAGTAAAGGGAGCTCCATCACTCACTAACAACCACTTTGAATTACCTTTAAAATTGTAATGAACACTTATCAGTGCTCAGTAATAACCCACATTGAGACAGAAATTCGGAAGATGAATTTGTCGGAAGACATTCACCTTCCAAGTTTGTCTCCATGTGGGTTGATAATTGAGACAACTGGGAATCTTTATTCTGGAAACGTTTCGCCAGCCAGTGGCTTCTTCAGTCCAATACAGAGAAGATCGGTGGAAGATGAGGAGGAGCTTGAAGTAATTAAGTCCCTCAACCTGGAGTCGACGTGTTTACTCCATCAGGATTGTTTACATCAAGATTGTTTACATCAAGATTGTTTACATCAGGATTATTTACATCAAGATTGATGGACTGAAAACATCGACTTAAGGCCGAGGAATTGATTACCTCAAACTCCTCATCTTCCACTATTCTTCCCTATATTGGACTGAAGAGGCCACTGGCTGGCGGATTGTTTCCAGAATAAAAATTCCTAAATGTTGCTCAGTGGAAACAAGTCACTGATTTTTTTTTTTTTTTTTGGGGGGGGGGATATCCTAGGTAATCTATACATATGCTGCAATGTATGATAAATTAAGTAACTGTATTTATGTGTACCTGTATCTGAATAGTGGTACACTCTGTAATTATTATTTTACTACATGTAAACCACACAATAACCAAATTCTGTAAACTCAGCATTGTAATCCTTATAGAGAATAAACTTTGAATTGAATTGAATAAACTTTCTGTGTAGGGATCGCGGAACCTGACCTTGGGGGTCCCGGCTGGGTTTACTGACCTTACCACCATGGGACCTGTGGGCGCCTACTACACGCCACCTCGCGTCTTCTTCAGGAAGCTCTCAGAGGACGAGGTCAGGAGGTCACTTCAAAAAAAAAAAATCCTGTTACACATGTTGAAAATATTGGTAAACAGATTTGGGGAAAATCTGGTATGTTAGAGAAAGCTTAATTTGTTTTGGGTATAACGGGAGAAAAATGCTTGCTTTGTTGTTCTTCAGCTTTTGATGATAATCCTATCATTATTAACAGTACTCAAGAAATCGTAATGACACGATTGCAAATAAACCATACCCCCGGCCGGGGGTATGGATTATTAACAGTAATAGTAGTAGTAGTAGCACTGTGTTGAAAAGGTACCGATAAACACGTTAGGGGATTGGTAGCTAATTAGATTTCATCCAAGGAAGGGGATGGTAACTCCAATTCAACAGATCAAGAGCCCTTCAACAGCATCAATGCACGACCTCGCCCACACAGTGACGTTGACTAAGTTGGCTGTCTGGGCGAAACGTTGTGGATAATGAAGGCATCTTCTTCGTTTAAGTGTTATTCGCTGTACCTCGTTGGTGTTTACAGACTTTTCAAAATTCAGTTTTTTTTTATTTCCGTGTATACTGTACAAAGATTATGTATGTAGTCTACAATAAAGTATTGTTAGGCATAAAATAAAGTCAAGAATAACAGCTGAAGTAGTGGCAGAAATACCAACAGCAGCAGCAGTAGTATACCTGGAGAGGGTTTCGGGGGTCAACGCCCCCGCGGCTTAGTCTGGGACCAGGCCCCCTCAAGGAAGGTTCCTTGATGCTGGTGAGGGGCTCTTGATTATAATAATGAGACCAGGCCTCGTGGTGGATCAGAGTCTCATCTGTCAGTAGTGTTACTTTGTATTTGTGTAGTATACTTAGATAATCCCAGCTACTTATAGATAGGCTTCCTATCTGTAGGCTGTTACTATCACCACAACTACCTCCCTCAGTTACTGGCTCTGGCTACCTGCACGGGAGTTCCTGAAGGAGAGGTGTTGGGTGAAGAGGATGATAATGGTAGTGGTGGCGGAGAGTGGAAAATCATCTCCACTCATAGAGATGAAACCAATCCCCGCAGCCACCACCAGCTACACCAGCACCTGCACTCCCACTACCAGCACCACCACAGGTACCAGGAGCAGCAGCCCGGCAGTAGTACAGGAGCTTCGGTGCGACGTAGATCCTGGGACAGCGACTCCTATGAACCACACAACTTAACCGGGTAAAAATCTAGTCTCAGCATTGTTCATGCATTTAATACGAATCCGTATTATGCTAATATTACCCCATATTAATGTTAAACCATCACATTAATTATAATACAATATGTTGTGTGTTTATGAATTAAGAAATAAAAAATGGAGTGGTAGAAAATTAAAATATTTAATTGACTTTGAAAAGAAAATCTAAGATTTTTCTTACCTATGTAATAAACCCATTATAATATTAGTCGCATTATTATAGCTTTTACTCTCTTACATCATAGCTAAAGCAATAGAGGATTATAGTTTTATGATGTCTGATATTTTTTGGGGTTATCGTTAGGTAACTGATACGTATGTTACCATGTATGATTCATACACATTTTATTATAATCAAGGGGGAAGCGCTAAACCCGGAGGATTATACAGCGCCTGGGGGGGGGATGTGGAAGGCATTCAGGCTTAATTCGGGGAACTGGAGCACAGATCCAATTCCCTAAATCAAGAGCCCCTCACCAACATCAAGGAACCTTCCTTGAGGGGTGATTCATACACAAATAACCCGCACATAGGCTTATGACGACGTTTCGGTCCGTCATAAGCTTTACCCTCCTATGTGCGGGTGATTTGTGTATTGTTCCAGTCACAGAATTGTGTCACAGGGCTCAACATGGCCGACACGGCAGGTTGTGTAACGGGCTAGCTAAGTAAGTAAGTAAAGTAAAGTAAATTTATTCAGGTAGCTGCGGGATTTTCAAGGATAGCTCCTGGTCAAAGAGGCTGACCAGGTCCCTACTTAACAGAACTCAGTGTGAATGCTTTGAGAAGATACCAGAGCAGCGAACGGACATCCCAGTGCATCGTTTCAGCGTAAATAGTTGAAGTGTTGTGCAGTTTCAGAGGATTTGGTGTTGTCGAGTCAGGACCAGTCAGCGCCTCCCCCCCTCTCCGCTGAGGGGAGGGGGAGGGTGTGTGTAGTAAACAGTGACCCTCTCATAACGCCTCACCCCTGCCCATCTCCCCCGCCTCACCCACCCAACTACCAGCGCCACCCCATCTGTAGAGGGTACTTCTCCCCTAACCCACGATGTCAGCGATGGCACTGCAGCCACAGGGAGTGCCGGGCTCACAGGAACTTCCACTACAGGGACAGCATCGTGGAGTTCGACCGCGAGGCAGCTGTCAGGTGTGCCACAGGCAGTGTGTACTCAGTTCCTCAAGCTTCAACATCCGTGCACACGAGGGCCTGGGATCTTCAATCAACTTGGCGTCCACCAGGACGCTGACATGTCCCTAGGGGAGCTCTCCATTGGGCTGTTAACGGAGTCACTGGCTTCTTGGACCTCTTGGGGAGGGTCGATGGTGCTCGTGCAAGCAGCAGATCCCTGGGCAACTTGCTGCTGTTTGCAATGGCTGTCTACCGAGGAGAGACAGGCACCTAGCAACATCTGTTGTTGGGGCAATGGATGAATTCCCTGCTATGTTTGTTAACTGCTCATTACTCTGTAATTTGTCTATGATTGTAATCATGTGATAATGTGTTTATCATTCATTACCTTTGAAACTTGTCATGATTTTGACCAGCTCTACCTGGAGCTCATTACCTTTGTAAATTCTCATGATTAATGTGTTTATGATTCATTACCTTTGCAATTATTCATGAGTGACCAGCTCTACCTGGAGCTCATTACCTTTGTAACTTGGTCATGATTATGACCAGATGTAGTTCATTACCATTGTAACTTGCTCAGCTATCAAAACTTTGGAGTCCAGTCCCTGGACCAATTATGTACCTCTGTAATCTTTTGACTACCGCCCACAGGATGGGTATGGGGTGCATAATAAACATATTAAACTAACACAGAATTGTGCATTTTGGTTACTTATGATTCCTCTGGCCCAGACATTCGTCTGAGTCGTGGCCAGGGTCGCCAGCTGCTGGTCACTCATCAGTGGAGGAGGTGCTGGGTAGAGTTGAGGCGCGGGTCGTGTGTTCTCCCCGACCCACCCGCAGGTACCTCCTGGTAGCAGCAGACAGGCACACCTACTACATGGCAGAGAGACTCTGCGCTATCTACGGGGGTACGCTACCCCCTTCCCTCACGGAAGACATGCTGGAGGCCACGAGGGAGGTAAGACTGCTAATTACCGAGGAAGTAGGTAATAAGCATCATTTTCACTCAGAGGCTGTAGTTATTATCTAGATCAGCGAGTCATCACCTCAATAACTTATTCAAGGGGAACATTTTATCTATAAAAAGGTTAGTTTTACGACGAAACTGGATATGGTGTTTCAGACTTTGGACGGAGGTGATTAAAGATCACTTACTGACCACTTCCTGATACACTCGAATATTTATCGTCAGATTTTACTTTGTCAGAAACACAAGATGACATTCATATTATTTCGAGGTACTACCGTTCTGCCAAGTGAGTGTAAAAAGAAAGCCTGTAATTGTTTTACATGATGGTAGGATTGCTGCTGTCTTTTTTCTGTCTCATAAACATGCAAGATTTCAGGTACGTTTTGCTACTTCTACTTACACTTAGGTCACAATACACATACATGTACAAGCATATAATAACACACCCTCAGGGGTTTTTTAAATTTTTTTCTATTTCAGGGTGTTTTTCCTCTTTTTCCCAAATTAAAGGGGAAAAAATTTTTCCCCCTTAAAAAGGTTTTTTTAAAGACAAAACGGGAAAGGGGCCGGGACAAGGGTTTAAAAAGTAACCCCTTTCCCCTGATAATTCAAATTTTTTGAAAGAGAAACCGTTTTTTTCCTTTTTTGGCCACCCCCCCCGTGGGAAAAAAGGTGTGTTAAAGAAAGATTAATTTCGTTTTTTTTATTAAAAATAAGATTTATATTTTTATTTATTAATATAAATAAATATGTTAAAGATATAAAATAAAAATTGGGGTTTTTTTATTTTTTTTAGTTTTTTTTTTTTTATTTATTTATTATTAATAAAAATTTTTTAAAAGTGCGTGGAAAGGGGCAAAAAATTGCCCGGGCGGGGGCTACCCCTTCCCATATATTCAATTTTAAAAAAATTTTTTTTTCCCTTTTTCCCCAAAACCCCTCGGGGGGAACCTTTAAGGAAAAATATATTTTCACTTTTTTTATTTTAAAATTTTATTTAAAAAATTTAAAATATATTTATTTTTACTAAAAAAAATTTTTTTTTATAATATTAAAATTTTTTAAAATTTTTTGGATAAAATATAAAAATTTTTACTTTTAAAATTAATAAAAAATATTTTCGTCACGAAAAAATTATTTGGAAAAGACTTAATTTTAAAAAAATTTTGGTTTTTGGCTAATTGCCAAAAATATCGGCCCCAACAAAAAATATATTATTTTTTTTTATTAAATTATTGAAAAATTAAAATATTTTATTTTATAAAAAATTTTTTTTATAAATATAAATTTTTAAATTTTTTTTAAAAATTTTTAAAAAAAATTTTTCCATTCCCCAAACAAAAAAAAAAACTTTAAACTTCGAAAAATTTTGAAAAGGGGTTTTTAAAATAATTTTTTTAAAATTAACCCTTTTTAAAAATTTCCCAAAATATATATATAAAAATTATTTATATATAAAAATTTTAAAATATTAATATATTATTATAATATTTATTAATATATATATATATTATATATTATATAAAATTTTAAAAAATTTATTATTTATTATTATTATTTTTTAAAATTTTTAATTATTAAAATAAAAAAAAAAATTTAATTTTAAAAAAATAATATTTTTAATTTTAAAATAATTTTTAAATAAATTTTAAATTTATATATATATTATAATATATATATATTATAATAAATATATTATAAATATATATATATTTTTATATTTATATAATATATATATTAAAATATATATATATTTTATTTATTTATATTTAATAAAATTATATATATTATATTTAATCAAACCAAATATATTAATTATTTAAAACAATTAATTTTTTAATATTAAAAATTTTTTTTTTTTTATAAATATAAAAAATTTTATAACTTTTTATTTATTAATTATAATAAATATTTAAATTTAAATATAAAAATATTTAGTTTTTTTATTTTATTAAATATTTTTGGTTTAAAGGGCCCCCAAATAATCCGGGGAAGTGGGTTTTTAAAGAACCTTTTTTTCTAAGGGGGTTTCCCGTGTTTTTTGTCAACTAAAATGGGAACAAGGGGTTTTGAAAACCCCTTTTCCTTTAAAAGGTACTAAAAAGAAATTTTTTTAAAAAAAAATTTTCGGGGGAATTTTAAATTTTCTTGGAATTTTTCCTTTTAAAGGGGAAAGGGATAAGGGAAATTTTTGTAAAGAAGCGTGTTGTTAAAAGAAAAAACTAAAGGGGGGAAAATGGGAGAAAAAAAATTTTCCCTTTTTAAAGTTTTAAAAAAGTTAAAAGAAAATTGAAAATAAAGTTAAAGGGGTAAGTTTTGGGGGGAAAAAAAGGGATTTTGGGGTATTAATTTAAAGGGGAATTTTGGAAGTAAAAAATAAAGGGGGGGTTTTGGGGAAAAAAGGGGGATTTTTAAAAAGGTAGGGGAAAAGAGTTAGGGGAAAAAGGAGAGAATTTTGGGAAAGTTGGGGGAAAAAGGGGGATTTAAAATGTAATTAATTGGTTTGGGGTTTTTAAAATAAAAGTTGGTTAAAAATTTGGAAGGGAAAGGGTGTAAATTTGGGGGAGGGGTAAAGGAAATTTTGGGGAAAAGTTGGAGTAAGGGTGGGGGGAAAATAATTTTTGGGTAAGGGGGGGGGTTTTAGAAAAGGGGAAAAAATTGTTTTTTAATTAGTAGGAAAATTTTTGGGGGGCCAAAAAATTTAAATAAAGTTTTTAATTGAGTTTTAAAGTTTTGGTAATAAGGGAAAAACAAAGAAAAAGGTTAAATTTAAATATACAGGTAAATGAGAGGGGTAAAAAGTATTTTTTGTTTGAGGGTTTAATAAAAGGTTGTTTTGGGGGGGCCCCAGGAAAAACTGTTTATAGGGGGGAAAAATGTATTTTCTTTTATCATTTTTTTTAGTTGTAGCTACATTTTTAGAGTAAGAGGAGAGGGGAAAAGGGGGAAGGGTGGCAAAAACAAGAAAAGGGGGAAAAGTGAAAGTGTATAAACAAAAGGGGAGGGGGAAGTTGGGGTGAATATAGCGACTTTTGGGCAGAAAGGGGGGCTGTGCAAAAAATGATATGGGGGGGTTAAAAGAGGGTTGGAATATTTTTAAAAATGCAGTATTAGAATGGGGGGCCAAAGTTTGGGGTTAAAGGGAGGGGGGGGGGAGGGGGGAAAAGGATTGATTTTTGGAATAGGGAAGTAAAGGGTGTGATAAAAAAAAAAAGGGTGTTATGAGAGGTTTTTACAAAGCAAAGTGTTATAAGAAGGCAGAGTATAGGGAGTAAAAGAAAGGTAAAGAAGTGGTGAAAGGGGGTTGCAAAAAGGAGACCCAAATATAGAGGGGGAAGGCACTGCCCAAAAATTTAATGAAAAAAAGGGAAAAATTTTTGGGAAATGAAAAAAAACAAGTTAAGAAACCCTGGGGAAAAGGGGGATTTGTCATTAAAAAAAAAAAAAAACGGGATTTGGGGGAGTTAGAGATGGGGAGATGGAAATTGGGTAGATGGCGAAATATTTGAAACTTTTAAATGTTAAGGAAGAAACAGGGGCAGTAATTTCATGCACTGGTCGGGGAAGGTATACCACCCTTTTAGGAGTGAAAAGAGCGGGAAATGTAATTTTTGGGGGAGGTACGTGGGGGCAAATTTGGAAAAATGAAAGGGGGAAAGCAGCGGGAAACTGAGGGGATCATGACAGAAATTTAAAAAGGGGGGGGGGGATATATGTTGGGTGGGGTTGGGAACTTTTGTTTAAAAAAATTTATGAAAGGGGGGAAGGGTCCCTTTGGGTTTTTGCAGAGAGCATGTTTAGTCCCTTTTATAAAGGAAGGGGGAACAAAAGAACTGAAAAAAATTATAGAGGAAAAAAGCTTACTGATATACCGGGAAAAAATTTGTACGGTAGGGTTAAATTGAAAGAATTAGGGGAAAAGACAGAAATTTTTGGATTGCGGATGAGAAAAGGGGTTTTTAGAAGTGGGTAGGGGATGTTTGATAGGTGTTTACATTGAAGCATTTTAATTGAACAGTTTTTTAGATAAAAAAAGGGGAAAGTTTTTATTGCATTTAGGGTTTTTAGAAAAGGCATTTGAAAGAGGGATAGAGGAGCAATGGGGCAGATGTTGCAAGGGTTATGGAATAGGTGGGAATTATTAAATCGTAAGAAATTTTTATGAGGATTTGTGAGGCTCAGGTTAGGGTGGGGTTAAAAAGAAGGGGGACTACTTCCCGGGAAAATTTGGTCTTAGACAGGGATTTGTAATTCACCATGGTTTTTTTTTTATATTTATAGAATTTGGGGGTTTTTTAAAGGAAGTAAATGCAGGGTGTTTGGGATAGGGGTGGGAATTAAAAATTTTTGGGGAAACAAAAATTTAAAAAGGGAATTGACACAGTTACTTTTTGCTGTGATACTGTGCTTATGGGGGATTCTAAAGAAAAAATTTCAAAGGTTTGGATGAGTTTGGGGAAGTGTGTAAAGGTAAAAGTTAAAGTGAAAAATAGAAAAAGTAAGGAGTGAGGGGGTCCCAAAAGATTTTTGATAAAGAAAAAAATTTGGGTATCAAATTGGGGAGGAGGGTATGGAAGAAATGAATGTTTTTTGAACTTGGGAATTTTACGTGCGGCGGATGGGTTTTTGGAAGGGTTTAGGTTAATCATAGAATTTGGGTGAGGGGAAAAAAAGGGGAGTGGTGCGTTGAGGAAAATGGGAGTCAAAAAAAACGTATTTTATGGAGGCAAAGAAGGGGAAAGTAAGAAAAATAAGAAATAAACCCAAAACTCTTAATGGGTTTTACTTTTTAAAAAAAATTTCCCAAAAAACCCCGGGAAGGGGGGTTTTTGGGGGGAAAACGGAGGAGGGCCGGGTTTAAAGGGCAATGTTTTTGGGTTGTAAAATAATGCAGAAAATTCGGGGGTGTGGGAAAATTTGGAGAAGGTTTTGGAGTTTTAAAAAAAGTTTAAATCAGAGGGCGGAAAAGGGGTTGTTGAGGGGGTTTG